TCTGAATATAGCAATGAAGATGAGGATAACAGTCCGAATAATGTAAATAATACAAGTAATCATAATACCTCATCTCAGAGATATAGAGGCCGAGACGTTGTGAATATAGCAATGAAGATGAGGATAAGAGTCCGAATAATGTAAATAATACAAGTAATCATAATACCCCATCTCAGAGATGCAGAGGGCGAAACGTTCTGAATATAGCAATGAAGATGAGGATAAGAGTCCGAATAATGTAAATAATACAAGTAATCATAATACCTCATCTCAGAGATATAGAGGCCGAGACGTTGTGAATATAGCAATGAAGATAGGATAACAGTCCGAATAATGTAAATAATACAAGTAATCATAATACCTCATCTCAGAGATATAGAGGCCGAAACGTTGTGAATATGGCAATGAAGATGAGGATAACAGTCCGAATAATGTAAATAATACAAGTAATCATAATACCTCATCTCAGAGATACAGAGGGCGAAACGTTGTGAATATAGCAATGAAGATGAGGATAACAGTCCGAATAATGTAAATAATACAAGTAATCATAATACCTCATCTCAGAGATATAGAGGCCGAGACGTTGTGAATATAGCAATGAAGATGAGGATAACAGTCGAATAATGTAAATAATACAAGTAATCATAATACCTCATCTCAGAGATACAGAGGGCGAAACGTTGTGAATATAGCAATGAAGATGAGGATAACAGTCCGAATAATGTAAATAATACAAGTAATCATAATACCTCATCTCAGAGATACAGAGGGCGAAACGTTGCGAATATAGCAATGAAGATAGGATAACAGTCCGAATAATGTAAATAATACAAGTAATCATAATACCTCATCTCAGGGATATAACGTTGTGAATATAAATGAAGATGAGGATAAGAGTCCGAATAATGTAAATAATACAAGTAATCATAATACCTCATCTCAGAGATATAGAGGCCGAGACGTTGTGAATATAGCAATGAAGATGAGGATAACATGAATAATGATAATCATAATACCTCATCTCAGAGATACAGAAAACGTTGTGAAATAGCAATGAAGATTAGGATAAGAGTCCGAATAAGTAAATAATACAAGTAATCATAATACCTCATCTCAGAGATATAGAGGCCGAAACGTTGTGAATATAGCAATGAAGATGAGGATAAGAGTCCGAATAAGTAAAAATAATACAAGTAATCATAATACCTCATCTCAGAGATATCGAAACGTTGTGAGCAATGAAATGAGGATAAAGTCCGAATAATGTAAATAATACAAGTAATCATAATACCTCATCTCAGAGATATAGAGAGATAGCAATGAAGAGAGGATAACAGTCCGAATAATGTAAATAAACGTAATCATAATACCTCATCTCAGAGATATAGAGGCCGAAACGTTGTGAATATGGCAATGAAGATGAGGATAACAGTCCGAATAATGTAAATAATACAAGTAATCATAATACCTCATCTCAGAGATACAGAGGGCGAAACGTTGTGAATATAGCAATGAAGATGAGGATAACAGTCCGAATAATGTAAATAATACAAGTAATCATAATACCTCATCTCAGAGATATAGAGGCCGAGACGTTGTGAATATAGCAATGAAGATGAGGATAACAGTCCGAATAATGTAAATAATACAAGTAATCATAATACCTCATCTCAGAGATACAGAGGGCGAAACGTTGTGAATATAGCAATGAAGATGAGGATAACAGTCCGAATAATGTAAATAATACAAGTAATCATAATACCTCATCTCAGAGATACAGAGGGCGAAACGTTGCGAATATAGCAATGAAGATAGGATAACAGTCCGAATAATGTAAATAATACAAGTAATCATAATACCTCATCTCAGGGATATAGAGGCCGAAACGTTGTGAATATAGCAATGAAGATGAGGATAAGAGTCCGAATAATGTAAATAATACAAGTAATCATAATACCTCATCTCAGAGATATAGAGGCCGAGACGTTGTGAATATAGCAATGAAGATGAGGATAACAGTCCGAATAATGTAAATAATACAAGTAATCATAATACCTCATCTCAGAGATACAGAGGGCGAAACGTTGTGAATATAGCAATGAAGATTAGGATAAGAGTCCGAATAATGTAAATAATACAAGTAATCATAATACCTCATCTCAGAGATATAGAGGCCGAAACGTTGTGAATATAGCAATGAAGATGAGGATAAGAGTCCGAATAATGTAAATAATACAAGTAATCATAATACCTCATCTCAGAGATATAGAGGCCGAAACGTTGTGAATATAGCAATGAAGATGAGGATAAGAGTCCGAATAATGTAAATAATACAAGTAATCATAATACCTCATCTCAGAGATATAGAGGCCGAAACGTTGTGAATATAGCAATGAAGATGAGGATAACAGTCCGAATAATGTAAATAACACAAGTAATCATAATACCTCATCTCAGAGATATAGAGGCCGAAACGTTGTGAATATGGCAATGAAGATGAGGATAACAGTCCGAATAATGTAAATAATACAAGTAATCATAATACCTCATCTCAGAGATATAGACAGGCCTTAAACTCTTTTCTTTATTTTGGTACTAACAGAAACTTTTACCGTTTTTTTTTTTTTTTCAATTAACATGGAATTCAAGAACTCTGCCGCATATTTGAGGAGTTATTTCAATAAATCAGTAATTGAAAACAAAAAATGGCCGCGGTTCAATGAAAAAAAATACTAGAAAACATTCTTAATCTGTAGCATTATCTTCCTTTGTGTGACTTGTTACATAATCGAGATTAACAAATGGAATTCAGATTGGTAGTTCAACCATATGTGGGGTGGGTTTTATTCTTGATAAAAGATTGGCATAAGCAATTTATTATTTTCATAGTTATCTTTTTGTTTTTGTTATACGGTCGGAACTTTTTAATCCAGCACCCTTAGAACCAGATGAATATTTTTAGATCCATTATCATATTGTAATCATTTATTTTTGTTTTGGTTTTAAATAAACATTTTTTTTTTTTAGATTGGGATCAAAAAGATAAAGTTAGTCTTCTGTTTAGTTTTCCGTTTCCGTAAAACGTGGGTGATTCTGGGGCTAAAGATTTCCCCCAGCTACCCCTGCTTATTTCCTACAGGAACCAACGCTCAGTTCGTCGGTCTGAATTCCAGTCGGGTTTTAGAATGCTGTCTATATTTGGGATAATGGCGCAAAATAATATTTTGACATTTCCAGTTTGTTTTAATTAACTCTTGTGTCTTTACAGGAGATATGATGTTAGAGGGAAGCTGATACACGGTAGTGAGAAATATGAAGTTACCATCAACACCAAAAGCTGATGTTTAGACATAGATAAATACAAAAGCAAAATTACGAATGCTATTTTCCAAGACGGTCAGGTGCAGTTCACTTGAAGCATTAAAGCAACATGGTCTTCTTATCACTCGGTCTGGGTTTTCTAAAATAAGATAAGCTTTGTAAATACTTTCACAGACCATTACGAAGGAAATGAGTTCGAATGCCAAATTTTGACACAGAACAATCTACTTTAGTTAGAGAATTCACAGAACATAATCTCATCATAGAGATCATTCTAAAGAACAGCATGGACATCACCCAGGCATTTGTTATTATTTGTTTTTATTTCTTTATTATTTGTCATTATTTCCTTATTATTTGTTATTACTTCTTTATTATTATTATTATTATTATTTCCTCATTATTTGTTATTATTTCCTTATATTTGTGAATATTTTCTTATGATTTGTTATTATTTCGTCATTATTTCTTATTTTCTTATTGTTATTATTTTCAATTATTTGTTATTTTTTCCTTATTATTTGTTATTTTTTCCTTATTATTTGTTATTTTTTCCTTATTATTTGTTATTTTTTCCAAATTATGTGATCATTTCTTCCTTATTTGTTATTATTTCTTTATTATTTGTTGTTATTTCCTTACTATTTGTTATTACTTTATTATTATTATTTCCTCATTATTTGTTATTATTTATTATTTGTTATTTCCTTATATTTGTTATTTCCTTATGATTTGTTATTTTTTCCTCATTATTTCTTATTTCCTTATTATTTGTTATTATTTTCAATTATTTGTTATTATTTATTGTTATTTCCTTAATATTTGTTATTACTTCATTATTATTATTATTATTTCATTATTATTTGTTATTATTTCCTTATTTCATTATTATTTCGTTACTATTTGTTCCTATTTCCTTATTTGTTATTATTTCCTTATTATTTCTTATTACTTCCTCATTATGCTATTATTTCTGCATTATTTATTATTATTTCCTTATTATTATTTTCTTATTTTCTTATTTGTCATTTCCTTATTTCCTTATTATTTTGTTACTATTTGTTCTTATTTCATTATTTGTTATTATTTCCTTATTATTTGTTATTATTTCCATACATTTGTTATTATTTCCTTATATTTGCTATTATTTCCTCATTATGTTATTATTTCCTCATTATTTATTATTTCTTTATTATTTGTTATTATTTCCTTATTTGTCATTATTTCCTCATTATTGTTATTATTTCTTCATTATTTGTTATTATTTCTTCATTATTTGTTACTATTTTCTTATATTTGTATTTGTGGTAGACGAAACTAAGCTTAGAATATTCATATATTTAATGCAATGTCTTCAAATTTACTGACTTTTATGTTGATCGACATGTCAGACGTGACGTCAAGAACGAGTTTATATATTTAAGAAATACAGAAGTTATATATTGTATCAGTATACTTGAGATAATAAATAAAATTTAGACCGTCTCAAGTCGAAACGGCAGCTAATTAAAATTTTTTTCAATCAACTTTTAAACAATTAGAGAGGTTTTAAAAGTAATGCTTCTAATTACGAAGAAAAACAACAAAAAATAACCTAAACTGATTATGAAGGTAGTTCAAGCAAAAGGTAACGTAAGAACTGTACAGACGAATCTAATTTGATCTGATTTATGAAGCAGGACATCTATCTATCTATCTATCTATCTATCTATCTATCTATCTATCTATCTATCTATCTATCTATCTATCTATCTATCTAGTTCTTTTCCGTATCTATCTATCTATCTATCTATCTATCTATCTATCTATCTATCTATCTAGTTCTTTTCCGTATCTATCTATCTATCTATCTATCTATCTATCTATCTATCTATCTATCTATCTATCTATCTTTAGGGTTATGGTTAAGTTTAGCTATATCCATATATCCATTAGGATTAGGGTTAAAATTAGTTATAGGATTAATTATATCCATATCTAACTTTCTGCTAGTTTGCGTCGAACCTAGGTTGCTGTTTGGTATTCATTCTGACTCGAAGAAAACTTACGAACGTACAGATAGATCGTTATAAGCCGAATATAATATGAATTTATTAAACAAAGTAACTAATAATAACAAAACAAAATGTCCATAGCATCTGGAAGAATTTAGAGAACGATATTTTCATACTGTTAACTGAAATTACGTCATTATTACGTCAATATCACCCCACGTGACAGTAAATGACGTAATTTCAGTTAACAGTATGAAAATAGCGTTCTCTAAATTCTTCCAGATGCTAAGGACATTTTGTTTTGTTATTATTAGTTACTTTGTTTAATAAATTCATTTCGTTTTTGCCTTGAATAAGTCCACATCGGACGAAACGCGTCGGCAACTATTAAAGTTTTCCTATTGTCTTTTACATTTATAAATATATATATATATATATATATATATATATATATATATATATATATGAAGAAATATAGTCTTAAGTGTGCTATATTTATGGGATAAAGTGCTCAATATCAGAGATAGCGTGTGTAAATATAAAAGTGAACATTGAAGTCAACACTTAGAGGCGACAGGCTGTTTCATACTAGACGCAATCGTCAGGCATGAAACAGCCTGTCACCTCTAAGTGTTGACTTCCATGTTCACTTTTATATTTGTATATATATATATATATATATATATGGAGCGATTGATAGATAGGTAGATCGAGAGAAAGTGAGAGAATGTGTGTGTGTGTGTGTGTGTGTGTGTGAGAGAGAGAGAGAGAGAGAGAGATGAGGTTGTGCGTGATAAGGAATTCTTTTGGAGTCATGCACTTTTAGTTGATCCTGTTTGGAAGGTTCTCATCAGAAATTCATCTGCCGTGCCTTGAATATAATAGCACATACACATACGGACACACACACACAGATACAGCGCGTGCGTGTACGCGCACACAAATACACAAAAAATACACACGGGTGCGACAGAAGACTCATGAATATAAACAAATATGCTTATACAGATGAGCAAAGTACATTACCACATGTACACACACTTTGAGGCTACTACGCCCATGCGCATGCATCACATGCACACACACACACACACAAAAGAAGGTGCATATACTCACGCTAATAGATATACACACACATCCACATATTCGCACACAAAACAATATGAATGGCGACACACTCCCATAGACAAGCATACACACCTACACGCCCAGACATATTTAGGCATTCAAAAGATACTCACATAGATACAAACACACGTATGCTCTCCTATATATTTGCATGAAATATATATATATATATATATATATATATATATATATATATATATACACCACACTAACAGAAGATAATCGTTCATCAGAGCTAATATATGTTTTACTAAATGCTAAAAATCACAACACTTGAAAACTTCCAACAGCAGCAACAACTGAAATGGATAGCAGATGGAAATAGAAGGCAAAATAATGACATAATCAAGATGTTCACTTTGCGCACTACATTAAACAAAAGGTTAGGAAATAAATCATTACCACCATCGGTACTAGGAAGAGCGAAAACATCTAGTGTACCCCAGAAGCCGATTTTCCCGATAAACATTATTAAGAGAAAGATTTCAAACTGTTTAACGGTAACTTTTCGTTTAATGTATGCCTGCATAAAACTCTTATCATTACTATTACTGATGCAGATGTATCAGCATTTATATACACGTGTATCATGGACACCGCTTCTATAGTCGAAACATTAATAATTAAAATATATCTAAGTGGAACTCTCTTTCAGCTTCTTGTTCTCCTGTCAACTTTGATGTTCAAAAATTTAAACCCACCGTGAATCGTTGTCTTCAGTCTTCTTAATTCTTGTTCTTTTAACGTTCTCTCTTCTGAATAATGTATCCTTTTTCTCATATTCACTCACACTCAGTTAGCTCTTGCATCTTAGTGGTTTTATTTCCTTTCTTTGGGTGAAATGATAAAAAAAAGTGATTTATTTGACTCACAAATTGTGAATTTATGTACTTTTCGTAGATATCCTATAAATATCTATGTATGCGTCCATATAGAGAGGCGCAGAATTTCATATGCATATATATGAGTGTTCATGTGTGTGTATGTGTTAGCGTGTATGTGTTTTTTGTCACTTAGCGTTCTAATCTTTTCAAAGGAAAAAAAAGAGGTCTTTTCTAGCTCTTTACATCAGAACCACTAGATAAGAAAGTGTCGACGATTCCGAGTGTTTTGATATGACCAGTGTTCTTTGACGTTTTCTGGAGATTCTTGGGATATTTCGGTATTTCAGAATCGAGTGGAAGCCATTGTGTTCGCCGGGGTTTCTTATCGGACTTTTTTTTCAGACAATCGAACTCAAAGGATAAGGCAAAGTAATTAAGTAAATGAAGGAGAATCGGACCCATGAGATACCGGTGGTCGAGAGGGGCGGTTTTGCCAAATAATCTCGTTGTGAAAAAAAAAATCTATATACAGAAATCATAGATAAAAAAAATAAAATAAAGTATATTCTATGGTAAACATGTGATCTTTTGGGGTGGGGGTGGGGGGCGAAAATCGCGAGATGAAATCAGAGGTTGAAGAAAGAGAAAGAAAAATGGAGGTAGCGTAGAAGAATGATAAAATACTGTGAGTGAACGAGTGAGAAAAGTAGAAAGAAAGAGAGAGAATAAAAGAGAGAAAGAGAGAGAGGAGGGAGAAAGGGAGGGAGAAAGAAACAACCTGGAGATGGAGAAAGAGAAATGAAAGAACGAGAGATAAGCGAGAGATTACAGCAATAGAAAAAAGTAGGTAAATAGGGTATTTAATTAAAAGAAAAATAATTTAGAGAAAAGATATTTTTTTTTTAAATCTCAAAAAAAAAAGATAAAAAAATAATACGACCTATAAAGATAATTAGAAGTAAAAAAAGAAAAGATAAAAATAAGAATATAAAACAAAACGAAAATATAAAATAAACAATGTAAAAATGGAAATAATAAAAAAATATTAAAAACAAATTAAGAATACTAAAAAATATGAAAATTATTAACAGATAAAAAGATATAGTGATTTTCTAAGCGTTACTTAGATGTGGCACAAGGCCGAAAGTAAGGTACACCCATTGAGGATCGAACTTACTACTTAGTCGTAATTTTTCTAGCGAGACAAGATCGCTAACCATTACACCGCATCAAGGTGCCAAAACGAGCAACAACAACAACAAAAAAAAGTAAGATATATGTAAATAAAAAAAAAAGTTTTAATGTAAAACTACTTATTACATAATCAACTTTTTAATAAATTATGATAGTAGGTATAAAGTAACCTCCATTGCCTTTTTATTCGAGATGACCTGTGTGTGTCAAATTCTCCAGGCTTTTCTTCTTTATTATGAGTTCAAGGATTTTCAGCTGCCACTTTATTATTCTGAGTATAAGTGTCCTTTTGTTTCTATTTTCAATAGGACTACCTCTTTGCTTACGCTTTCTACCCATGGTATTCTCAGCATCTTTCTGTAGAACTGTAATTCTGATGCCTCTAGTAAGTAAAATAAAATACCACTAACCGTAACAAAATCTAGTATTCGTTTAACGCGATATGACGCTCTCTATGTTAAAGAATTAAAAAATAATTATAAGCGTTTCACTCCAAGCAAGGCGGGAAGCCACTAGCACGCAAGGGGTTACAGAAAGTTGGAAAGAGAGCAAATAGGAGTGATAGAGGAAAGGATGAAGAGAAGGATAGGGGTTAGATCAAGGCATCTGGAGACGTCGATTGACATTACATTTGAATAGTTGGAGATTATAGCTATCAGGGAAACAGGAAGAGGGGAGGGAGTTCCACATGCGAGAGGTGCAAAGCATGAAGCTACTGGAGTAGAAGAAACGGCTACATTTAACAGTTTCGACAGTGAAAGGGTGTGAGCGAGATGCAAGCCTAGTAGAACGCTTAAATTCAGCGAAAGCAGTTACCATGAAAGTATTTGTAAAAAAAACAGAGGGAGGCGACGGCACGTCTGTGAGAGAGCGACTGCAGATGAGATGCCAGATCAGGGCCAATTACGTTGCATACCCGTCTCTGGATCTTATCAAGAGCCTTGAGAGAAACATAAGGGGCACCAGACCATATATGTCAGCAATACTCCATGCAAGGGCGAAGCTATTGAGTCAATGTATTTGTTCCATCTCAGGTCAGCAGTCAATGTGAGGCCAAGTAGTCGCAAAGAGGATCTCTCGAGAAGTTGAGCATCAGACATTCTGATGGGAGGGCAGGGATGGTTCTCTGTGTTGAGTAATAGAGAGCAGTTTTGTTTCTGAGGCGTTAAAGTTAACCAGCCAATTCCTGCCTCAGTTCACAAACGAATTAGAAGGAAGTATTTCCTAGTTTTACTGAGGAGAATCAAATGATTGGCTAATTACCTGTTGTCATTTCAACCTATTGAATTAGTAACCGATAAAAAGTGTCCGATGTTTCGTTAAGAGAACGTACGTAATAGTATGCCAAATATAACATATTTATCAGATATACCTTTATATAATATCTCCTGTGGTCATGTCATGGGTTGGTCATGATTTGGTCACGTCACATGGTATAAATTCCTCTGTAAGACTATCATACAAGCTAGTGTTGAAGGTGGACACAAGCGCGGATGGCAAAATAAAAAGCTGGTCAGACAACATCAAAGAATGGAGGGTCAGGACAATGCCAGAACTCTTGAGAGCCATTGCCAATAGATCACAATGGAGGAGGTTGTATGATACTTCTTCTCATAGAAACCCCCGTTTCCCAAAGATTGAAACAAAGGACTGATGATGATGATGATACATTTTGATTAGTCACACATTATGAAATGGACAAAGTCCGACAATTATTTTAAGACATTTTTATGTTTATACATTCTTTTTATAGATACAAATATTTAAG